GGTCCATCTGCGTTGCACTGAATTCACCATTGTCTATTTCGTCCAAGGATGAAGTTGTGATTCCACCCAGTTGATACGTGACAGCGCTGCTTTTCACTGGCGATCCTCCAGAACTATATACAAACAACAATAGAAGAGTTATGGAATAAGAACTTACATATTGCACATTATTGTCCATCCAGCAATTTGACAAGTCAAATTTCCTGCAAGGTCAACAAGCAATTTTACCTCTGCCCTGCAATTTAACCCCATAGTCTACAGTAATGGTCCCGAATTCAAGCGACACCTAGTTGCGCGTCGCTGAAACACCTCCAAACGCTCGCTTCGGTACTCACTCATAGGTGACGCACTGGGCAGCCGTGAGTATGACCCAGGTCGATATAAGTGACCCTCCGCACTTGGCGTTGTCCTCCGGAGTGGTCAAGTACGCCATCCATGGCACCGTGGTCCTGTCACTCACCAGTCCGCCGTAGATGATGACGGGCGAGGCATCGTCGTCGTCGTCCCTGCTGTCGACTCCAACTCTGGCAACCCTCGTACTTGTCGAAGGCAGCACCGAATGCACCAGCAGCCCGTAAACCCACACCACGTACGAAAAAGTCCGCAACATGATCTTCTGTATGTATACTGAACTGCAATTTCAAAATTGTTGAAAAAGAAAAAGAAGGAAAGAATGTCTCTGATTTGAACAGCGGTGCTGATGCTCGCTTTATCGCAGCCGAGACTCAACTGCTGCAGTTGTTACGTGGGACTGCGATCGAATAAAAGCGCGGATTGTTTTTTCTTGTAGTATTTCGTGTGCTTTCGCTCAAGCTTGAAGGCATTTCTCTTGAGGTGGAATAAATTGACAAAAAAAAACGAAAAGTTTCAAGGTTTACAAAGTGAGGGGAGATTTTTCTTGAACCAAGGCAGCAACGACGTAATATAAGAAAAGGAATATGAAAGGTTGATGAACTTTCTTATTGTGCGTGTCTCAGCGTTTCTTTTCTTTTTCAAATTCTCGAAAAAAAGTTTCCTTAGCTGGTGATTTTTTGGTTTGAAAACAAAAAAACAAACACTGCGCATATCGTACGTATTTTCGAGCGTCTGTAACAAATGGCCGTTATTTAAAAATAATTCCTCGTTTAACG